AAACCCCCCCCCCCCCCCAATACTTAGTTTGTGTACAAAGGTGGATAGAAAAGTTTGGTAAAGTATCCAGTTGGTTGAACTGTGCAGAATTAGGAAATACTTCATTAACTGTAAGAAAGAAAATAAGAATATCTGTGCCCAAGAAAAAACACAAGCTGTTGGTTCCCTTTACATTGTGCCAATGACACAGTGTGTGACCCTGGGCAATGCTTCACTGTCCATTAAGTTTTCCCAGCCATACAACGGTGATAAAATGTTGGCAGGATAGTGTTGTCAGCCTGGTATGCATGCTCTGTTTGCCTGCAGTTTTTTTAAACATTTCTAAGCCAGCAAAATCCCTTGTATAAACACAGTTATACCAACACCAAGGAGTACTTCTGCCAAAGCAATGCATGTCATCCCAGGAACCAGTATGAGTTATATGCGCCAAAAGCAGGCTTTTGCCAGTATTAAGTGTTTATACTACAAAGCTCTCCCAATTAAGTTCTTTGGCCGCAGACTTGGCTTAATGTAGCAGGAATGTGACAGATTAGTTCTTTACTGTTTTTAGTCCTTCATTTTCAGATGAAAAAATGCTAGCAATGCCAAGTATTATCATCTGACCATTCTGGGGCAATGCTGCACGCTGTCATTAGCTAGTCAACACCTGCTTCTCCACAAGTGATGAACCATTTTCACACATACCTACATTCAAATCCCAGTTTGGAAACCTCCCCATGAAGTCGTGAATTGTCTCCTGCACAGAGCTGGGCTCCATGTACCCTTTGTGCACCCATGTGGCACATACACAGCCACATAACTGCACATTTGGGCACTTGGGTGCCTTTGGGGACTCCACATTGCCTGCACTAGGCAACCAAGCCTGCTCAGCAGGGCTGCACGCCAGCTAGACAGGTCCCAAAATTTTATCTGTGGACCCCAAAGAGAGGGGGGATAGGAAGAGATGAGGGCAAGGAAGAGGAGCCTCCTACCTGTTAGCACAATAGCCTAATGGTTAGAGCACTTTCTTAGGGAGCAGAACACCCGGTTTCTGGGCACCCCTCATGCAGGGAGCATTTGAACCTCCATTTCCTGCCTCCCAGCAAAGTGCTCTCACCACAGGGAAGGGAAGGTGAGAACTCACCCCAGCCCTCTCCGAGCTGCCCGGCTGGAGTACGTGGCACTAGGGGAAGAGCACAAGCCAGAAGATGTTTGGCTCAGTGAGACAGCTGCTGCCCTGGACCATGCAAGGATGCAGGGGCTGGGTTCTCGCCTCATCCTCTGCTCCAGCAGGACCAAAACTAGCCCCGGGCAGGAGCCTTGTCAGGCTAAAAGCTGAAAGGGGCCACCGCCCATCCCCCCAATCACTTCTACTGTTCTATTTCACCAAAAATTGGGTCTGGGTGCCAAAAACAACAGTCGCATCGCTGCATCCGCACTGCCTGGAGTGCGAGGGGTAAACAGGATCGAGCCCAAAGGGTTTCAGACACACAAGGGCCAAAGGTGCATCCTTTCTGCTACAATAGTCAGCTATGTTTAATAGGGGAACAATTCCACATACATTTCCTGTGTTTACCATTCTGAGCCGAGTGCTGGATTGTGATGAATGTTCTTGGAGTACAAAGTCGGGTGCTCAAAAGTTAGGAAATGCCCAAGTTCAAGTTGCCCAGGAAGCCTTTATACTCCTCCGCGGCAGGTCTGCACCTGGACACCATCTCTAGATTACATAATCAAACCACCTTCTTCCCAGGTGTTTTGCCCAATTCAGTGCACAGGAGGGATTTAGTATTTCTTTTCATCCTCAACATCCAGCGCATGGCCCACATGCCACCCAAACCCTGCCCTGAACACAAGAGTCATTGCTTTCACTGTAGGCTTTTCTACGGTGGGCTCATGGAAATCGTGTTTCTTTACATTCCCTTGACGATTTAGTGAGGCAAGTGGGTGTCCTGGAGGAGCCTAGGCGGGAACATTCAGGAAAATGTGGGCGTTTTAAGAAGCCTGGGGCCTTATTTCTGGTAGTGCTTTGGGTTTTCTAGACCTTTGTGTGACAGAAGAGCTCCCACTCGCTACATGTGCTTTCCAGAAGCCCCAGCCATGCTGCAAGTCTGATCCCAGGTGTGTCAAAAAACAGGAACGGGGACAGCCAGTGAATTCTGTGGCTTATGAGATTTGTTCAGCATCACACAGGACCTCCAGGGCAGAGGTGGGATAGCATTCAGCTGCTGTGACAACAAACCCATTTTTCCTTTCTGACAGTCCCCAGACACATCCACCACATACCTTCCAACTAATGCAATAAAGAAAACAGGGTCTTGTAGACAGCCCCAAGTACTACACGCCCAGATTCATTCCCAGCATAAAGGAGAGGAAATTGTGCGTGCTGTTTCCATGATAGGCACCAGCAGCTCCTGATGCCCACATATGCTATCCAGCCCAGTATTCATCAGCTGTCAAGGGATGAAGCATGCTAACTCTAGAAGTGATCTTTAGAAAACTTAGCTTCCAAGATCCAATAACCCTCCATGGAGCACATGCAAGCCGATCTTTCAGAAAAACATGAGATGCGTCTCTAAATACCTAATCAATCCCTCAGCCCAAAGGTATGTCCCTGCTCAAAAGTACAGAAGTTTGTAAGTTGTGTTAAGAAGTTGAAAGGGATTAAGAAAAAAGTGTATTTTCCCCCCATTTTTCTTTTTAATCAAATGAGTGAATCTTTTTAGCTGTTTTGGAGTTTATCATCATCTTTGTTATAGAATCATAAAAAATGAGGATTGGAAGGTGCCTCAGGAGGTCGCATCTAGTCCAAACCCCTGCTCAAAGCAGGACCAACCCCAACTACATCTTCCCAGTCAAGGCTTTGTCTACCCGAGTCTTCAAAATCTCCATGGATGGAGACTCCACCACTGCTCTGGGTAACCTGTCACAGTGCTTCACCACCCTCCTCATGACAAAGTTTCTCCTAATATCCAACTTCAACTTTCCTTGCTGCAACTTGAGCCCACTGCTCCTTGTTCTGCCATCTGCCCCAATGAGACCAGTACAGCTCCATCCTCTTTGCAACCCCCTGCAGGGACTTGAAGGCAGCTATTCAACCCCTCCACGGTCTTCTCTTCTCCAAACTAAATTAAGCCCAGTTCCCTCAGCCTCTCCTCACAAGTCACCTGCCACAGCCCCGTATTTTCTGTTATACTTTAGCCTGAGACGGAGACCCAGCAAGGAAAATTTCTGCATAAACAGCCTAAGTTTGGCCAAGTCATAACTAGCAACCTAAAAGAGGGTCCTATAATACCCAGGGCAACCTACACCAGCTAAGTTACAATAACCTGTCATCTAACACTAGTTTCATAGTTTCATAGTACTTAGAGTCAGAAGGGACCTAAAGAGATCATCAGGTCCGACCCCCTGCCCCAGGCAGGAACAAGTGCAGGGTCATATATATATATGGTAAGTATACTGGTGTTCACCAGCTAGGATAGACAAGTTCCTTATTGCTGATCCTATCATTTCTTTCATGGTTTTGACCTGTCAATAGGCCTGGCTGAAGAGGTTCTGGATGGGCCTAGTCTTCACAGACACAACAACATGACAGCTCATAGATTCATAGATGTAGGGTTGGAAGGGACCTTGTAGATCTTCTAGCCCGACCCCTGCCCTGGGCAGGAGAGAAAACTGGGCTCAGATGACCCCAGCCAGGTAGACGTCTAGCCTCCTCTTACAGACCCCCAGGGTAGGAGGCAGCACCACCTCCCTTGGAAGTTGGTTCCAGATCCTGGCCACCCTGACTGTGAAGTAGCACCGCCTGATGTCTAGTCCGTATCTACTCTCCATCAATTTATAGCCGTTATTCCTTGTTACTCTGGGAGGCGCTCGGGGGAACAAGGTCTCTCCCAAACCCCGCTGGTCCCCCCTAGTGAGTTTATAGACGGCCACTAGATCCCCCCTCAGCCTTCTCTTGTGGAGGCTGAACAGGTTCAGGTCCCGTAGCCTGATCTGTTACAGTACCACCGTATTCAATTTAAATTAGCTTCATATATGTGGAATAAAATGGGTTTTCTTATGCTTTTGCCACTGCTTGTACTCTGGTGCTTTGATCTCTTTAAACCTGTGGTGTTATTAACAGCTTTTCATATTGCTTTTTTACATGCGTCTTAGAAAGCAATGTTTGTGAGGTGATGGAAGCAGTAAGCTTTCACTCGTGTAGCCATGTTCCCCAGAAGTAGAACTATTTTGCTTCTCGTTTCTGGAGAGCATGAATTATGTCCTATGATCCTCTTAGTCTTTGGAAATGTCTGACTAGATGGCTGTTCAGGGCAGTGAAATGGTGATTAAGACAGGCAAGGTTAAGACAGCAGTTAAGCCTTTTAGCCATTTGGCTGTTCTACTCAAATGGAGTATGGGAGGTGTGGGAGTAAATCAAAATGGACTCGCTCAAAATACATCCGTTGCAAATCAAAATATAAGAACTACACCATTAAATAGCAGACTGAAAAGAAAATTACTCTTGTCAGTAGCAGGGAACCAGGACATAGTTAATTACTGGGGTAAGCAAAATTAGGCTGCTGAAAACCAGATGCAAATAAGAAGTCTCAGAGCAACAAGTCCCAGTTTGTCATTCCAAAGAAAGGGGCACCAGGCTAAACCAGAGATGCAGAGAGAACTTGGAGCCCCTGGAGACGCGATGCAGACAGAGAGAGGACCTGAACCTCCTTATGTCCCACATACAGAACTGTCACCAGCTCCAGGGATGCTCCAGGACACCTTAAGGGTCGGCACCTGCACATGGTAGGGGCCAAGAAGCACCAGCTGCAGAGGTACACCCCTGCACAGCACCCCTCCAACAGCATGCCAAGCCCCCTTACTGAGGGGGTGTATCTGTTAGCCAGATTCACCAAGACCCTCACTGCCATTCAGAAGAAGTTTAGGCTAGCTCTCCTCATCTTCACTGGCTCTATCCAGACAGAGATATTCCAGTGGGCTAAAATATAAGATCAGACTAACCTGTCCTTTCCCACAGAACATTTTTGGGCACAGTTACAGCTACCGAAAGAAGACACACATGCTTTATGACACAAGAGAAAAGTAGAAGCATTCTTACTTTATGACATCAAAGCTTTGGACTGCGTCGTTCCAGAAATATTTCACGCTGTGGTGTGAGAAATAGCGAATCTGTAAGTCAAATAAAAGCAGTTGGGGACAAAGCTGGCACTATTTGACAATTATTTTCAGTTTAAATTTTGCACTCCTGCTCAAAATTTCTAAAACTAACTTAAAAAGTGACATATGTTCTAATTTTGAAAAGGAGACAAAGTTGCTACTACATGGTGTCATTATTATCTGTACAATGTTTTATGCAGTGTGACTGTTTGCTTTCTAATATCCCTACTCTTTCAGCAATCCCAAAATATATTGAAACAAAAGACCTTCATTTTCTGTAACCCTCACCCAACTAACTTCTCTGGCAGCCTCAGCAGGGCAAGTATTGAACTGCACACATGGCTTGTATATTCTTTTCTTACATGCCTCAAAGACTAAGGATTCATACACCCCAGGTCCACTTACAGGCAAATATTTTTGAGGGCCATTTTTGTTCTCTTCAGCCGGGTTTTCAAATACATGAATGCTATGGCCATTGGAAACCTTGTCTTGAGGAGGAGCAGGACTTTGCAGTGGACCGGTTCCTAGAGAAAGCACAATGCGAACCTTTGCACAAAACCATATCCTGAATTCATCCTACAAGATTAAGAGAAAAGATGGAGAATATTAACATCTAAGGAAACACAGAAGGGAGTTCAGGGATTGATTTCTTTCCTTGAAGTACCAAAATTGAGTTGAAAAAGCAAACCAATTACCAAGGTTTACTGAAGTGGAAGGGACCCTGGGTTTGACACTAATTACCCCCAAGGTTATTGTTTTCCCTCATCGAACTTCAACATCACACAATTCTGGAAGCACTGATGTAGGGTCCCTGCCAGCCCCTAAAAACTATGAAACTAGCATCAGAATGGGCAGATCTCCACCTTCCCAACGAGATCTAGAATACTTACTTATTTTCTATGGAAATGGCAGGGCTCTAAGTCTGGCTTCTGGTTCTTCAAGGATTAGAAGTATGTAACAGAATGGATTTGCATACTTTTTTCATTTAAATAGATGGTAATATTGCCACATATTTTTGCCTCTCCTGTTTATATCATCTGCATGCAACTTCGTATTAGTGTTATACAAGCAATGAGACAGCAGATTCCACTTAGAGCCAGCAGCTAACTTCCCCGTGTGCCTTCTGCCTACCCTCAGACTAATACAGCTAACTAAGGATTGGATTATGCCTGAATTTACATCAGACAAACCTTAACTATAGAAGACAACACAGAGAGCTGTGCAGAGCCTTCTTCAAATGGGAAGAAAACCCAATCAAAACTCTGAATTCCAGTTTTTGTTCTGAACCAGAAAGGAAATCCCAAAAAGGTGCTTTGAAAAAAGCCAGACTGCCTTAGTACAGTTCTCCCCACAAAAAATACAGCAGTTTGCTGTGGAGTTGGGGCAGAGCAGACCCCCAGCATCCAACAGTGGAGAAGTAAGACAAGAGGCTGGAGAGCCCCAACATTAGCCAGGACATTCAGGATCCCACAGCATGGCAGAAAGTAAGGAAGCCCCAAGACCTCCACCTCCAGGAGCCAGCCTGCCTGCCACAGGACTGAGAGCCTAGAAGCTCAAGCCAGGGAGAAAACCCCATGGCCACGCTACCGGGCAGTCACAGACCCTGAAGCCCAGATCCGTGGCAGCCCCAGAGGCAAGGCACCAAGGACCCAGACTGCTTTCCCCAACAGAAACCTACCTGCCTTCTTCCAAAACCATTTTGCTCTAGCAAATCAGCATTTTCTAACAAATGTTTAGTTGGAAAATTCCTAATCGCCTGCAGTTTGAACCAACTATAAAAGCTGCTGGGATCCCGTAGCAGAGCGTGATGGTTCAGGAAGCGAGGCAGTCTGCTGCACCCACGGCTGCTACAGTTTCAGAAACTGCGTTACACTAAACAAAACCCTGAGGCAGAGACATCTTCAGCCTCTGCTCACGCGCTTCCAAAGCTGGGGTCTCCTCAGCCCCACAATCTTCTGCTCTAAAGGGGACCACGATGTCCAGAGCACCGTGGAAGCACAGTCTTCCTTCAGGTTTGCACACACCGTTTACGTTGTACAGAAATGTTCTTTAAGTTGAGATGACACCAGCAAGGTGCTGTCTGAACACTCTCCACAAATTTGACTGTACACCTTAAAATATTCTTTCTAAAGCTAAATCCATTTCTTAATTTTTCTTTTTTGTAACTAGTTTTTTTTCAAATACAGTCCTGAATGGAAATGTAGAATAACAAGTGCATTACCAGCATGGACTGATAGATTTTTAGAAAATCGTTTAATTAAAACAATGGAAGCTTCAGTGAATGCTATCTAATCTCTATTACTTGCTTAGCTAAATATGAAATAACAAAGGACCAAAAGTCTTCATTAATTCAGCAAACTTCCTTTAGATTTGTTGGTTTTTCATATGCAGGAAGCTATGTGGACTAAGTGCAAGTTGGTTTTATTCATGTTTATCTGACAAGCAAACTGAGGAATGTTTCTGGTTTCATTCTGAGACCCTTCAATTTTTCAATTTCCTTGCTACTGACAAAACAGCCCTAGATCATTTATACCCCACGATGCAAATAAAGTCAAATCACCAGGAGGACATGTCTGAGCTCTGCTCATTCCTGCCTCTGACCATTTTTCTACCCTGCATTCACAAAAGCAGAGAGCAGTTGGGGGCGCAGGCTTACAGTTGTTCGCAGCAGCACCACTTCGCAGTCTTTAAGCGTTGTCCTTTTGCATGTTGCTTTCACACGCCACGCAGGCATCCAGTAGAGGAGGAGGAGGAGGAAGCCACCAGTACACAACACCCCGACAGCAACTAAAACCAGCTTCCAGCGGCACAGATTGTAACCATAAATCTCCTGCACAGAAACAGAGAAACAAATAATGAGCAATGATATCCTTAATTGCTCTGGCTGAGGAATTCAGTACAGGCATACCTCGGAGATATTGCGGGTTCGGTTCCAGACCACCGCAATAAAGCGAATATCGCAATAAAGCGAGTCACACAAATTTTTTGGTTTCCCAGTGCATATGAAAGTTATGTTTACACTATAGTGTAGTCTACTAAGTGTGCAATAGCATTATGTCTAAAAAAACAATGTACATACCTTAATTAAAAAATACTTTATTGCTAAAAAATGCTAACCATCATCTGAGCCTTCAGCGAGTCGTACTCTTTTTGCTGGTGGAGGGTCTTGCCTCAATTTGTAAAAAAACCCAATATCTGCAAAGCGCAATAAAGCGAAGCACAATAAAACGAGGTATGCCTGTACTGGGGTCAAATGACCCCAGCATGGTGAATTCATGGATTCATGAAAGCTGTATTTAGAGTTCACTTTGTT